AGGTTTCTCTCCACACTTTTCTCTCTTCAGTAACATTCCAGTCTACTGTATTAGGAATTAGGCTAGTTCCCCAGCATGGGAAGGAAGTCACGCTTCCCAGGCTACCAGCCACACCTTGGCCCTCTCCACTCCTCGACTACAAAGTTTGTGGGAGCCAAAACTGGTTTGGCTCAGTGGATAGGGCATTGGCCAGCAGACTGAAGGATCCTGGGTTCGATTCTGGTCAAGGGCATGTACTTTGATTGTGGACACATCCCCAGTGAGAAGTGTGCAGGAGGCAGCTGATCAATGTTTCTCTCTCATCGATATTTCTGGTTTTCTATTCCTCTCCCTTCCTCTCTGTAAAAAATCAATAAAATATATATTTTTTAGAAAACTTGTGAGAGGTGAAGGATGTAGGTAAAATGTGGGCTCAACAAATCAAATAATATTTATTTGGTACTGAGTGGTTATACAAGGTGCTGTAGAAACAAAATCATCAAATGCTTGGATATGATTATTCTGGAAATGTAACTTGCAATCAATCAGCAATGAACCTATTTGATACCTGAATGGGTTCTTTTCTTAAGGACAAAACAAAATAAAAGAAGACAAAACCTTCCTTCTTTATATGACAAAAAATTGGGGATCCTCTGCTCTAGTTAAAGACAAGTTTCTCCAATAACTTTTGGCGGCACGGGTATTTGTATCCCTGAGAAGAAAGGCCAACTAACTCTAAATGGACCACACGCCTCTTTATAAAACCCTTGAGTATTGGGGACACAGTTCTCTGCAGGTTCACACCCTGGCCAAGGGAAGGGCCAGGTTGAACACACCAGCTTCCTGGGGCCCAGCCCCTTAACATGATAATGACAGAAATTAGAGCCATCCTTATAACCTTAAAAATATAGAGGTGGTGGTCTTCAGCTCATGTTATTTAATTCATCAGTCTGGCCCCTGTAGAAATCAGTCACATCTTGGAAGATGGCATTGGACTATATCAAAGTCAACCAAGTAGAGGTCTCAATTACAACTGCTGTGCCAGAAGTGATATTTTTGCTAGAGCAATGCACATTGCTTCAGATACATGGTATATGGAGATTGATCAGAATGATGTATTTTTCTCATCCTTATCAAGGATAACCAAAAGTATTTGATATTTATATAGGAAGGATAGTAGCCTACATTTGCATTTTTGTCCCAAGGCTATGTTAACTCTCTCATCCTGCATCATAATATAATCTGCAGAGCCTGAACCATCTCAACATTAAGCAGAACATTACATTAGTCCACTCTATCAATGGCATCATGTTAATCAGACCAGATGAGTGAGAAGTGGCAAGTGCATCAGAGACCTTGGTAAGACACATGCACTCCAGAAGGTGGAAAATAACCCCTATAATGATCCCTTCCTACATTCCCAAAGGTTTCTGAGGTACACTAATTTGTAACATGCCAAGACAACACTGCCAAAGTACAGGTTAGATTATTGCATTTGGAGCATTTCATCTGATAGTCCACACTTTGATCCATTTCCTGAATGATAGAGAAAGATACCAATTTTAAGTGGGACCCACAATAAGAAAGGGCTCTGCAGCAGGTCCACAATGCTGTGCAAGCAGCCGTGTCATATAGGCCAAGTGATCCAGCACACATTTGATATTAGAGTTACTGTAGTTGAAAACAGTGGCATGTGGTGTTTATGGCAATCCCCAGTAGGAGAAACACAATTTATAACACTTGTCTTCTGATGCAAGGCCATGCCAGTTGCATCAGAGAATTATATGCTATTCAAAACTCAACTCCTACAAGCTGCTTGGTGATAATAGAGGTAAAACTCCTGATTAGGAGATATCAAAAGATGATGAGGCTAGAGATGCACATAGTGACCTAGGTTCTGAAAGGCCCATTAGGTTATAAGGTTGAGCACAAGTCATCAAAATATGGACATGTTGTATCCAGATTGAGCACAAGTCAAGGGTAGAGAATACAAATCTAGGTGAACTGGAGGCCCAGCCCCCATGCTGACCATCACCAGCTAGTAGAGGAAGGAAAGGGCCAGTGTTGGTTCTCCAGTAATTTTTGTGGTGAAAGCTGAAAAGAGACTATGGCTGCACTCCAGTCTCAATCAGGGTGGTATATACATTTTATACCTCTCATTCTGAAGGGGATAGTAATTCATCTTCACTAGAATCAGCACATATTCCATACATAGGTTTGTAGGACTTCAGCTACATGAATTTTCAGGGGCTTATAGAGTATTTATTTGATCCAAAAACCCAGGATCCCACATGTTAGGGACTGAATTGTGTTCCCTCAAAATTCATCTGATGAAGTGTTAACTCTTAATAGCTCAGAATGTGACCTTATTTGAAAATAAGATTGTTGAAGATGAAACTAGGTAAGATGAGTATATACTGGAGTAGGGTGGGCTCCTAATTCAGTATGACTGATATCATTATAACAGGGAAATTTAGAACCCAGACATACACATGTGAAGAATGACATGTGAACACAAAAGAGAGGTCAGGGTAGTGCTTCTACAAGCAGTGAAACTCCAAAGATTTCCCACAAACCACCAGAAGCTAGGTGAGAGGCCTGAAAAGGATTCTCTCTCAAAGCCCTAGCAAACTAATACATCACATCCAATAAATGAGCAAATTTGTAGCAAGAGTTATAGCAGAGGTGATAGGCCTTCGGATTTTTCTGGTTTTATCAAATATAGCATCACCCAGAAGCTGCTGGCCTGAGAAATGAGTGGTATAGCCTCTTAAAGTTGCAACTGTGGTACAGCTTGGAGATGCTATCTTGTGAAATGAGTCATCACCCACCAGGATGTATACATCCCAAATCAATTACTATCATATAGAAGGAATATATAGGTCTGAAATTCAAGAGGTGAAAGTCAGAGTTACCCTGTTTACTTACCATCACTCATCTTAAATCAGTTACCATTTTTGCATCTCCCTCAGCCACAACTCAAGGTTCTGCAGGTCTGGATATTCTGATGAGGAATGCTTCCATGAAGGAACTCAGTAAGAATCCCATGGTCTCCTATTACTGGTCTTTTCAGAGATCTTTTGCCAAGAGATAAACAGGCAAGAAAAAAAGTGACTCTCCTGACCATCAAAGGAATGATCAGTGTGAGTAGGAAGAATGTGTTTACACAGTGTGGGTAAGAAGAATATATTTGGCACCCAAGTGTTCTACTGGGGCATCTCTTGATACTTTACATCTCTTGATAATTTTGAGAGTGGATGGACAAATGTAGATGCCACAAACTGAGAAAAGCCTTATGATCGAGGGCTCAAACTCCTCAAGGTTGAAGGTCTGAACCTCATTAGTTTAGCCACCTAAACAGCAGAGGTGGCAAGGTAAGGATAATCAAGAATGTGCGGTAAAGGGAGATCATGCTTATCCAGTGGCCATCCCAAGACCAGATGCAGTTGGGAGTGGGGGTGAGGGTTAGGAGGTGGTGTGTGTGTATGTATGTGTGTGCGTGCGTGTGTGTGTGTGTGTGTGTGTGTGTGTGTGTGTGTATGTGTGTGTGTGTGATTAGTTTGCCCACTAAATTTCTCTCTTGAATGCTTTTTCAGGAAGAAAAAAATTCTGGGTGATTCTTTCCCAGATTCAGTGAACTTTTTATACCAAGCAACTAGATTCCAATGGTTTAAGATGTATATTGCAGTGGAGACTGTGGTGTGCTGCCCAGATCCCTCCTTCAGAACTAGAGTACTCATTTCCATGGCATCTGGAAGGATTGCCGGATGATGGCTTGTTGTGAGATTCTCCCAAGGTTGATGCCTCCAGTCACAGGTAGATTACCACACCTGAGGTTGTCCCAGAGGATCATATCCATTTTTTTCATAAATACTACATCTTCTACTATCTTTCTGAGATATAAAAAATAGTTTTAATTTTTAAAAAAAAAAAATTTATTATCCTTGAATCTTTTCTTTTTTTCTGATTTTTTTCCCTTCACATTAGGGGATTCATCAAATATTTGATATTCCCTTGAGTATATGTCCAAATGCAAATGCAAGACTTTAAAAAACTGACTGGAGACTCTGTGTGGTTGTAGCTATCCAAGATGACCAGTCCATTGGAGGAATCTCTCCATGATCCTCACCCCCACTCCCATTTCACTATATGCATTTTTTTTCTGAAAGTGGTATCATTCATTCTCCTGTGTATTTGAGGGGTGGGTGGGTAGGATGTAAGGCTGGTTCCTATGTTTGGTAGTGGCTAAGGGAGTCCCACTAGTCAGCGGGTAGACTTTCACCGTCTTTCTGATTGCTGTGTGGCATTCCTTGTCTTAGCTGTGCCTGAGTCCCGAAGCCCAGAGTCCCTTTCCCCATTGTCTTCAGAGTATAAACCCCCATTTCCCTGAAATAAGTTATGAATGGTTACCAGGCCACATGGAAATGGAGGAAAGAAACTTGGAATACAGGCTTTCAGACAGTCCTTCTACTTCAGCCTTCTAAGGTCCCACTTTCAGATCTTCTTGTTGCCTACAGGTTTTGAACCCTTCTGAAGTCAACTCACATAAATTGCTTTGCATTTCAGTTTTTCCTTGCCTAACTTCTATTTCAGATCTCTCAGCTCTTCTAAGTCACTTGCCAATCCAGTCCATTAGTTTTCTAGCTTCAACCCATTCTCTTTGCCCTATATATCCGTGTCTTTTTTTTCCCCTTTTACTGTCAGTGGGGTTTCAAGAGAGATCAGAGAGAAATACTAGTACACATGTTTAATCCTCTATATTAAGCTTATAGAATAACTTTCTATTTTGTTTGTTTTTAGGGAAAATATTTTATTTCACCATAAGATAGAAAAGTGACCTTTATCATCATTTTTTGTGTGTTTGTCCCCATCAGCCTTTATCCCCTCTATGCTCTCTTCCACCTCCACCCTGTTCCCTTGAATAACTTTCTAATAACACTCATGACCCTAAGTCCTTGTGAAGATACAGTCTATATATATTGATACCAATGAGTGAATGGATAAGAAAATGAACAATCACCTTTTAGTCATTTAACAAATATTTATTATTAGAATTATTGTCTGCTAGGTCATGTTTTAAACTACCTGCAAAGGAAGTACAGGAAACCAGTGCTTAGTCTACAAACTTGACTTTGCTTGGTCTCAAAGCAAATTCTTTGTCACATTAAAATAGCAGCTAGTTCATTGATTACCACAAAATTAAAACAAGAGGAGAAAACAAGCCTATTTGCATCATTCTATTTAAAAGAATTTGGATGCAACAAAGTTCCACAAATCAGCAATACGGTCACAGCCCCATCTGAACAAGTTAGTTAGGCCAAGGGAGTCATTTGATGGCATTTTGGTAGAGGATCTGGAAAAGCTGTCTGGAGCATACCCTCTGGGTAAATAACTATCCTGCCTTCTACAGACACCTTGAGTTCCTGACTGGTTCATGGCTTGGGTTTGGCTTCTATAGACACCTTGAGTTCCTGACTGGTTCATGGCTTGGGTTTGGCTGAATATGTCATCAAAGCTCCCAATCTCCATGTAGGAGAAAGAGGAGTTGGATGGTTGTGTCATGTAGTTTTGTGAGCTCAGTCCACAGAAGCCCAGATTGCAAGCCTCACAATTGGCCATGTCATGGGACCCATCCAAAGGCAATTCTGGGATCACTGGTATCTCTGAGAACTTCATGATGCCATTTCCATAGCATCTCTCTTGAATGCGGTACACCAGATTGTTCAAAATTCTCATGGCACTTTCGGTGGAGAACTCAGGCTTCTCAAATTGAGTCCCGGAACACTTCTTGCACCTCTGAGCAAAGAGCCGCATAAACACATGGCCCTGGGACTCTCGGGGCTTCAGGTACATATGACATAGGACCTGCACCTTGGCAGAGCCCCAAATTCGCCTGCATGAGGAGCACCGGAACCTGCAGACAGAAGGAAGAAGCCCATTGTTCTTTCAGTTGATTGTTGACCTGAGGGAAATGGTCCTGCCTTGGTCTTTAAGATCCCTTACAAGTTGAAAAAGTGCATGTGATATTGACAAATTAACAAATAAAAATATGAGAAATTGTGTTTCAAATAAAGCTTTTCCCTGTGACCCACTGAGCTTCCACATATATATAATTCCAAGTCTATCGCTTGGCAGCAAAATATCTCTGGATATTTCAGAGGGAAGATATTTCTGCCATCTGCCAGCAAAATTTGGTCCTCACAATGTTCACAGAAAACTCTCATAAGGTACAGTAATCCCCTATTATCTGTGGGGGATATGTGACCTCCCCATAGTGGATGCCTGAAATCACAGATGGTATCAACCTTATATATACTTTTTCCTATACATGCATACCTATGATAAAATTCAATTTACAAATTAGGCACAGTAAGATATTGACAACAATAACTAATAATAAAATAGAACAATTATAACAATACTCTCCAATAATTTTTATATTTTTCAGCCCAAACATAATCCTGAATCTGTAAAACCATTCCTCACTTGCAGTAAATGGCTTGGTGTCCCTTTTTTCAGGGATTACCTTGCTGAAGTCTTTGTATATGCTCAATGCTTTCTGACAAAACACATTGCAGTCAATTGGAATACATTTCCTGTTTATGTCTTCCACTTACAAAGTGAATGCCTCTTCCATATTAACTTAGCACTTCCCATGCATTGAGGCCAGAAGTTTCGCAGTCAGAGGTGTGACAGCAAAACTAGCAAAAATTTCTTTTTCCTTCCTCACAAGTCCATAGATAGAAGATTCATTCTTATCATAAGTCATAACATCCTCAGCATATGGTTTGTTTCTTTCCTTATTAAGTCTAGAAGTTTCACCTTTTCACTTAAAGAAAAAACACTTTACAACTTCTCTTTGGCATTATCTGAATTGCCAGCACTATTGCCCTGTACTTTGAGGCCATTATTAAGTAAACTAAGGGTACTTGAACACAACCATTGCCAACACCATGACAGTGATCTGATAGTCAAGATGGTAGTGAGTGACTGATAGGCAGGGAGCATATGCAGTGTAGAGATACTGGACAAATCATATCCTGGCTAGATTAGAGTAAGACTTCACAAAATTTTACCACCCTACTCAGAAAGCAAATGATTTTTTAAAAATATACATATTTTTTATTTTTTACAGAGAGGAAGGAAGAGGGATAAAGAGTTAGAAATATCAATGAGAGAGAAACATCAATCAGTTTCCTCTTGTACACACCCTACTGGGGATGTGCCCGCAACCAAGGTACATGTCCTTGACTGGAATCAAACCTGGGACCTTTCAGTTCACAGGCTGACGCTCTATCCACTGAGCCAAACCAGTCAGGTCAAGAAAGCAAATGATTTAAAACTAATGAATTATTTAATTCTGGAATTGACCATTTAATGTTTTTGGAACACAGTTGACTGTGGTTAACTAAAACCACAGAAAGTGTAACTGTACATTAGGGAGGACTATCTACCTATTTTGAAGCAGGCACTGAAGACCCCTTCTGACAAGGCATCATTGAGCCCAATATCCAAATGAGAAAGTTGAATCATAAGGGATACACAACTTGCTCAAGAACATACAAGGTAAGTAGAAATAGAGTCATGTTTTAGTCCCCAGCCATTTGAGAGCAACACCTCTAGTCCTGCACCCAGGAAAACAGACTCAGTACCTGGGACCATAATACATAGGTTTTGGTTTACATCTGGGGGACCTTGGCAAAAAAGCACTTCCTTACTCAAAGCCTCAATTTTTATATCCATCAGATAAAAAAATTAATCATAAAATGAGATAGTATGTAAACTACAAAATGCTTTTCAAAATCTGATTGATGTTTTTCCAAAGGTATGCTGATAAATTGCTTTTCCCATCTCAGAATGACAATCAAGTCCAGTCATCTGAACAAGCCAAACACCTTCCTGTTTGGGGGAGTGCCTCAAGGTGCTCTGGTTGGTGCGGAGAGGGACACTTACGGCCCACTGGCTTAAAAAGCAGGGCAGAATGACTTACATGGGCTCTGGCCAGTGCCTTGAAAACTGTTCTGCAGAGCCCCAGATAATAGGCTCTGCCACTAAAAATAGTATACATTTCTACATATCACATATGTTCTATAACATATGATATATAAATGTTATTGTAAATGTATTATAAATAAAGTATATATATATATATATATATATATATATATATACCCTGTTTCACCGAAAATAAGACAGTGTCTTATATTAATTTTTTCTCCCAAAGTTGTGCTAGGTCTTATTTTCAGGGGATGTCTTATCTTTCCATGCACTAGGTCTTATTTTTGGAGGATGTCTTATTTTCAGGGAAACACGGTATATATATATATATATATATTATTATTATTATTATTATTATTATTATTATTATATGGGAATGGAGAAGGAATCCTTGCTCTGCCTAGGAAGACCAGAAAATGTTTTAAAGAGGAAGTAGCACTTGAGTATGAATAAAGAAGTGGTTGGGGGGTGGCGGGGGGGGGGGGGGGGGGGAAAAGAGCCTGCCAAAGAAGCAGAAATCATGGACCAGGGAATAGAGGTCTGAAAGTGCATGGCATGGCTAATAAGTCTTAAGGAATGGAGCAGAGGAGACCTGAAGCAGGGCAGGGGCAGGCAGGGAAGCAGGATAGCAGGTGTAGCAGAAAGTACAGTGAAGGTCGCTGTGCAATTCTCACCTTCCTGCAACTTGGAGACTCACTGGAGGTTCAAAAGGCAGATGGCCAATAAAAGAAAGGCTTTACTTAGGTACTCCAGGGGCTAGGGTTTGGATGTCCCTCTTGAAGCATCATTCCCTTCTATTATCCTCAGACTTTCAGCAAAGCAGTATTCAAAGTGATTGCTTGGCATTCATCAATTCTTGGGGCTTTAAAGGAAAGCCCAGTCCCAGGCTGGTACTAAATAGGGCTAGCGGGGTGGCTGCAGCCTGGGGAAGCCAGTCAGGACTGATGGGGGAGGTGCAGAAGGTGCTAATTGGAACAAATGAGGGGGTGAGGGAATAGGGGGACAGATTTATGGAACATGGAAGCATTCCTTAGGGAATTGCAGAAATATTTAGGGAGGAAACCTAATAAAAGAAGACACTTCCTAGAGTTAAGCAAAATGGAGGCTTAGAGTCTTATTTAGATCCTAAAGAACACTGAGACCACAAAGAGGATGGGAAACCTGGTAACATTTATTCTTTTAAAAGCTCTCAAAGGCATCAATCAGTGCTGAGTGGAGCCTCCTTGTCTAGGGAAGCCCACTGCCAAGCAAACTCTCACCCACCTACCTGCCAAATGCTGTCTGCTGGTATTGCTTCCCTCCTTGGGCCACACAGCCTAACTGCAGAGTCTCATCAAACTTCAGGGTCCATCTGTGCCAGGGATTCACCTCCTGCATCAGTTCTTGAAACGTCTGCTCCCATGCCCCAACTTCCAAAATTATTATCTCGTTAGGCCTGGAGTTCATGTTTAGTGAGGAGCTTTCCGTTTGACTTGACGTACAAACAAGAGACAAAGGTAGTTTCAGTTTCCATTTGACGTCACATTCAGGAAGTACAAAGAGCAACCTTTCTTCTGAGGACAGAGGGCAGCAGAGTTTTGCTAGTTTGTGAACAGCCCTTGCTAAGAGATGCCTGAGCACAGAGCTCTGCTCCACATTCTTGGGGCACCAGTAAGTTAGCTTTCTTTTTATTATTGACAAGTTGTCCCCCGTTTCCCCCCTTTTGCCCACTTCCACCCAGTCCTCCCCACACCCCCACCCCCTCAGCCTTCACCACACTTTTGTCTATCCATTGGTTATGCATATATGTTCTTTGGTTAATCCCTTCACTGTCTTTCACCCCTCCCCTCTGACATTTATCAGTCTGTTCATGCATCCATGCCTCTGGCTCTTAATTAGCTTTTATTTAATTTTCCTCCCTTTTCATACCACACAAAACACTAAGCTCAGCACAGGGGCAGGTACAATTGACTAAAAAACAGTTCCTACCCCAACAGATGCTCAAACCCTATGAAGACCCAGGGGAGTGGGGGAACATGTATTGGACACTTGTCTCATGCACCAGATGAACCCTCACCGCAGTCCTCTGAGGGGGATCAAAACAGATATTTTGTAGGTGAGCATCATGGAGAACTAGGGTTCCTTGTTTAAAGCCATCCAGCTAGTCAGCAGCACAGGTAAGACTAACCCAGCCAGGCCTATGTGACTCCAACATGTGCTATGTCTCCACCCACCCCCTTCCATGAGGAGCAGCTGAAAATGGTGTTCACAGTCCAGGCTGGCTCTCTAGAGACAGCATGAGAGGGACCATCTTAAAACCCTTACCTCGTGGTTTGCTCTAGTAAAATTTCCTGGGTCCCAGGGCAGGACAGCAGGCTGAATGAAAGGATTATTTAACTCTGCCTTCCACAATGTAAATTATCTTGGGGCAGTATACAACCACCTGTGGGACCTGATTAAAAAAAAATGAAGAAGATAGAATATAGAATTCTCATTCAGGGGGTGAGGGATGGGACTAGATGATCTTTACAGTCACATCTAACTCAAAAACTCTGAGATTCTAGTAAGCTCTGTCTCTTTGAAGTTCAAATTCAAATCGGGGAGATATAACAGGCAGGACACTGTGTCCTTGGAAGCCCCACTACAGTTACTGTGTCTCAGATATGTTTGGCCTGTGTTCTGAGGCTCTCTAGACTTTAACATGTTCAGTGTGGAAGGTAGAAACACCCTCCCTCTTTTCATTCCCTCCCAGGACAGTCTACCCTATACATAACTATACACATGGGGGGCAGCCCTTAGGAATCAACCTGCTCTTTTGCCCTAACTGGTTTTTCTCAGTGGATAGAGCATCAGACTGAAGGATTCCAGGTTCAAGTCACATTGATGATTCTCTCCCCATCCCTTCTGCTCTCTCTCTAAAAAATCAATGAAAAAAATATCTTCAGGTGAGGATTAACAACAAAAAAAAAAAAAAAAAAAAAAACTTGCTTTCTTTTCCTCTGATTATTATATGTAAAAAACACTGAGACTCAGAGGAAAGAACTCTCCTGCCCAAGGTCACACAGAAAATTGGTGCCATACTGGATCAAAAGCCAGACATTTAATGATTTCTGCCCACTGGCCCCAACCATACCCAGGTCCTTTCCCCCACATTTTCTTCTACTTTCTGCTAGATTTAAGACCATTTCTTTTAACCTTTATCTTCAGAGCATGGCCACATATCCTGCCTCCTGACTCCTCAAATGGTTATTTTCTCCAAAATGTAACCTTGATTGATCCTTTGCACTCCCTGCCCTCAGCCTCTGCTTTGTGTCTTTCCTTTAACATAAACAACTACCACAGGCCAGCCTGGTCCAAAGGACAGGGAAGGGGGAAAACTCTGCGTATGATTTGAGATTTGAGGGCAAAGAAGAACAAAAGGAAATTACGACTCTTTAAAAACTACACAGATCAGCCAAAACCGATTTGGCTCAGTGGTAGAGCGTCGGTCTGCGGACTGAAAGGTCCCTGGTTCGATTCCGGTCAGGGGAATGTACCTTGGTTGCAGGCATATCCCCAGTAGGGGGTGTGCAAGAGGCAGCTGGTCAGATGTTTCTCTCTCATTGACATTTCTAGTTCTCTATCTCTTTCCCTTCCTCTCTGTAAAAAATCAATAAGATATATTTTTTAAAATTAAAATAAAAAAAATTAAAAATAATAAAACTACACGGATCCACTATTACTACTTTTTTTTTTTAATCAAGGCATTGTAACTTACGATAGAATCACAGATTTGCTTTTTTTGGAAAAGACTTTGTGACCCTTCTCTTATGTCACTGAGAACCATGGCATAGAAGTGACTTACTCAATCATACAGTGTGATGTGATGACCTGTAGGCTTTTACCAGTGGTAGGTGTGTTATCATAGGTTGGTTAAAGTGTTCCTGAAAATACAGTAGAGATAGAGGAAGGAGTTCCCAAAACAACAAAGCACAGGTCAATTTTCTAAATGGGCCATGGGTAAATTTAGACTTTTAACAGCTCAGAGCTGCAATTAATTTATAGGATAATCTAATTCTGGAATGACAAGTGATATTTTCTCCTATTCTTGCCTGAGACTGACCTTGCTAATCAATGCTGAAACCCTTGTCTCTGGGTCCGGGTGTAACTTCAGAACCATTTCATCACGGTACTGGATAGCCATTACCACACATTAGTAAATGAAACTTTTCTTTTGCCATACATGCAATAGTCCAGCTTCCGTGTTTTACAAGTTGCAGAAACCAAAAGCCAAGACAGATTTGCAATAACTAGAGCAAAAGTCCAGTTTCATAATGTTAGCTATTCACCTAGTTTATTTCTATAATTTTTTTAAAAATTAGCTTAGAGGTTGTAGAAGATGGGGTGACATGATTTGATTTAAAGAGAGAAACAAAAAACATTCCTTGATATAGCAAAAAAAAATTACTTACATGTTAAATATCTCTTCAACAGAAAATTTCAAGGTGACTGATCTGGAAAACAATGAGGCTAGATGATTCCTAACCTAAGTCCATTTCTCCTGAGTCAAGGCTTCGGAGTGCAGAGAGATACATTCTGGACTAGGAGATATATCTTTACTCCCACGCCCTGGAATGACCTCTGTAATAAGTGGCAGAGCCAGGACTCAAGTTTCTGATGCTGCACTAAATCCAACGAAAGCATGAGCTTGTCTAAAGAAGGAATTGGTTGCTAAAAGCAGGAGGCACATGAAACTATTGAGACGGGGTCTTCAAGCTGCTCCTCTAAAGTTATACTCTCTGGGCTGAGGCCCTGAGCACATCAGATGAACCATTGTTACAGTTATGACTACCTCTTGGCATAAGGTCAGGCTGGAGGAAAAGGGAAGTACTGAGATCACAATGTTCTGGAATGTAATGAAAATGGGCTGGTTCCACTCACTGCCCCTACACTGCACAGTACAGATCATCACAACTGCTTACAATAAGAAACAGAAAAGTCAAGGGAAAACAGAATTAGACAGTTGTATTACAAATATCAAAGAAGAGGGGTTCTGCTCAGGAGGGCAGAGTAGGTAGATACTATACTCACCTCCTCCCATGAATATATCAAAATTATAACTAAATTATAGAGCCACCAACCAGGATAACCATCTCAAAACTAGCTGAACAGAAGTCCTATAACTAAGGATATCCAGCCCCACACCCACATGCAGCATTTGAGGATATGGAGGGATATCTCAGCTGCAAAGGTTTCCCATGAGAAGCAAGGGGTCTCAGCCCCATGCCAAGCTCCCCAGTCTAGAATACTGGTGTTGGGAAGAGGATCCCATGCACCAGCTGGCAGTGAAAATCAGTAGGGAATCCTCTGTATGTCTGTCCAGGTGAGAGGGTGAGACAGAAGTTTGCTGGAAATCCAGGTTTTCTCTTAAAGGGCCAGTGCACAATATCTTGCTCACAGGCACTCACCTTGGGTTCTGGGGAAGGGATAGTAGCTGGTGGGGGGCCAGAGACATACAGGGAAATACTTCCCTAAGTTGTGTGGCTTCCATGCAAGGGTTGGAGGGATGGCTGCCACTGCCTATGTATTGAATCCACCTCCCACAAACATTCCTGCGTTTAGCCTTCTCCTCACACAGCCAAACATAAATCTGCATTAGCCTGGTGAACTCTATTAGCCCCACACTGACTGATGGCTCCCTGATACCCCACTCATTAACTTGACCAAGGTCCAGCTCTTTTGATGACAATCAGCCTGGGCACACGCTCAAATTTTTCTTTAAAAATTCCAGTCAAGCTTGATGAATGCCAAACATAAAGGCCAAAACTGAATTGTTTGCCTTCAGTGCGAGGGCTACAGGGGCAACCACCATTGTCTTTGTGCTGAACTCTCCCACTGCACAGCCAAACCTGATTCAGCATTAGCCTGGTGAACTCTATTAGCTCCATGATGATGACTCCCTCACCCAACACGTGATCCACCCAAGGCTCTTTCAGTGGCTGACCTATGGGCAGCTGTCTAGATCTGACTTGTCCCAGGCCTGGAATTGAAGTCAGTCAGCTTTGGTTGTCAGTGCAACCCCTCCTACATGCATCCAGGTCCTGCACAGGCAGCTGACAACTAAGGATTGTTTTGCAGTTCCTAACAGGTAGGCCAGGGCCAGTCTCAGGCAGCATCTGATGTTGAACTGCACTAGAGTCCCTCCCAAGAAGTATAATATGTAGGTGGACTCAGAGATCAGAATTCTCACTGAAGAATCCATGCCAGGCAGAGAGGTATATTCCTATCACACCTGCTATCTAACACTCACCTCTACTGTCCCCAGAGACTCACATACAACTTCTACCTTGAGAGCCAACAACCCTGGAGGAAGTAAAAGAAAGTATAAAGTCCTGAGCCAGCTGCTACTCAGACTCAGAGTTGGCATGCTAAGAACACCTTTCCAGAGAATAAAGATCTAATTAAAAGGGCAATAAAATTAATCTCTTAGAAAGAATCAGAAGAAAAGTGTAAAGTCAAACAATTTGCAGAGGGGCAGAAAATGGCAGCAGAATAGACAGACTTGTCCTGGAGCAGAAAGAAAGAACAGCTGAGAGTCGCACGGGAAGTGTTTGTTGGCAAGTTAAGGAACATTTAAACTCCAGGGGAAGGTGAGGGACTGCTGGACAGGGTTCCCCTGACTGGGTAGCCCCCACTGCTGCTGGGTCCCCTCCAGGAGCTAAGGATGGAGACCACACCATCTTGAAAGGGAAAGTGTATCTTATCGGAAGCCTGAAAATCCACAACTGTGGCAACCATCAAACAGCTATGAGCCCCAGAACATGGGTCCCCAATTGGTGCAAACACACAGATTCAAAGAAGCTCTTCACTCCACCATGGAAAAGTCAGATTTCACCTGGGATAAGGTGAGGTCTCTGGTCCTGGCAGGAGAGAGAAACACACTCTTTGCAGGAGCTTGAGGACTAGGGAAGTCTGTGCCTGGAAAAATCCATGGCTGTTGGGGCTGGCATAATAAGTGAATGTGGAAGGGGGTCTCAGAGCTTCTAACAGAAGGGATTGCTAAAAAGCAACACATTTGATTCTGGGAAGATGTCAGCATAGGTAAACACCTGTACTTGCTGCCTCTCACAACCACATCAGAGCTGCAACTGGGGATCTTATCTGAGACCTGAAAAAACTACAACTGTGGAGACCACTGAGCAGCTGTGGGGCCCCAGTAGGTGCGGACACGTGGATTCCACAGAAAGGTTGGATTTTCCCAGGGATAACGTGGGGTGCCTGTGTCCTGGCAGCAGAGGTGGCAGCTGCAGAAGCTGTGGCAGCAAAAGCTGCGGGCGCCATGGCGGCAATGACAAAAGCACGTGAGTTGGGACCGGGGAAATCTGTGTCCACAAAAACCCCTTGCTGTTGGGTCTGGCGTGATCTGAGAGAGTGGACGGGGGTCCTCAAGGTTTCCAATAGTGGGATTCTCTAGGGAGCAACCCATTCTGATCTAACACAGAGGGAGAACATAGGAGTTGGAAAGATATGCAGTCTGTTTGTAATTGCGCGCAGACTGGCCCATAGTGCACCTGGCCGTGTTCCCCTGCAATCCTTTGCTTCTGATTATAAAAGAGAGACCACCCAGATTGGCTGGCCCTGAAAGATGGCAGGAGGAAACTGCTTTTCTGGAAGAGGAGAAGCAGAGCGGGGAGAGACCATCTGGGATTCAGCTCCAAGGCAAAATCGGTATTGAGTGCCATAGAGAAAGAAGGCTAGAGCAGCCAAAAAGATGGGGAAATCAATCCACAAACACTGCCACCTAGCGGCTGGAGTACAAACTGACTGTGTTTATTATTAGTTTTATTTAATAAAAAACCAAGAAACTAAGAAATCACCACCTTAAAATTAAGGACTAGCTTACAACACTGAGGTGCAGCGGAACGCAGGGAACTGAATTACTGTCTGGACTGAGAAACAGGCATGCCAAGCAGAAAAATTGAGGAAGTGAATGGCCTTCACAACTGCACACTTCTTTTGCTAATTTTTTTTATTTATTTTTTGCATCTTTTACTTAAGAAACAAATTTTTTCCTTTTTTTCTCACTTGATTTTACCTTTTTAATTATTACATTTTTAGGTTCAATCAGCATTATTACTACTGCTATTTTAACTTTTTTGTTTCCTTTTCCTTTTTTTTTTTTAAATTTAAGTGCCATTTTATTTTCTTTTTATTTTACATTGGAATTAGTGTTCTTCATTCTACTTTCATTTCTCCTTTAACATCATTTAACCTTATCTCAACATGACCTTTACACTATCAACCTTTTGCTGTCTTGTATATCTTAACCCTTTCCTGCTTTAGATTTTCCCTACTCTTTCTGTCTCCCCCCTGCTAAAATTTCTACCCTACTTATATATCTAATTTCCAATCCCCTGTGCCAAGTGCATACACACCTCTCTCTTTGCTGTATTAACTAGCAAAAAAAAAAAAAAAAATGTTTTCCTCTCTGTCCTTTTGATGCTGTTTGTGTGAATGTTGATTATATTGTACTTTTATGCTTTTTAGTGAGATTATTTTGCTTATTCTTTTATTGTTGCTGTTGCTTGGTATTTTTTATTTGATTTGTTTTAGTTCGTTGTTACTTTTGTTTCCCCTAGCTTTGCTGGATATAGTTTGTGGGTGCTATAGTTTGTATTATTCTCCAAGTACTGTTGCCAGCATTTGCAGGATAAGTGGTTGTTCTATTGAAATTCTCTCCCCATATATATAGTGTGTTCCCCTTTTCTCTCTTAGTCTCTTTCTTCTCTCTCTCTCCCTCTCTCTCTCTCTCTCTCTCTCTCTCTCTCTCTCTCTCTCTCCCCCTCTCTTTTTATCCTCCCTGTTTGCCAATTTCATGTTGACATTCCTTTTTTTTCTCCTATCTTTTTTTCTTTTTCTCCCACCCTCTTCTTTTTTTACTCTTCTTCTTTCTCTCCTATCCCCTAATTTGCCTTTCCCTAGTGGTCACCTTTATTGGAGGTTATTAATATCGCAAATACATTTCTGTTCAGTGCCTTGTGTGTTGTACCTGGTTGTGTTGTATTTTGTGCCTTTAAATCAATGCAAGAGAGAGAGATCTACATAACCACACATCCTGAAAAGAGAGACCATTGAGAGACAAAGAAACAGCCCACATATGAAAGAAAAGCAGGCATCACCAGAAAAGGAAGTAAACGAATTAGAGGCAAACAACCTACCTGAGCAAGAATTCAGAGTAATGATCATAAAATGGCTAAAAAGAATGGAAGACAAATTTGACAATATGAGTAAGAACCAAGAGAAAATGAAGAAGAACCAAGAAGAAATGAAGATGAACCAAGAATAAATGAAAAATG